TTGCGAAACCCGAAGGAACCGGCATCATTGCTCCCTTTAGTTACATGGGGCAAGTCGGCCAACGGGGCCAGGGGTCTCCACGTCGAGGTGGCCTCTCTTGTCTAAAGTTATGATGATCCAACCTCCTTTAGCCTTGATCACCAGAAGTAAGTTCGAGCGCCAGGAAAAAAGTACCGAAACTCAAGGGTTTTCACGTGTCGGGCCCTGCAGACACTCGCCCGACACTGTCTTGACACTGTTTCGACACTCGTTTGACACTTTTTCTGGGTGCTCGAAATTATTTCTGGGATGCGGTCCTTAAGTAGGATGGGAATAACATAACTCTAAAGTTTAATACATGTGCAACCGAACCGATCCTGGCTGGGCCGTTCCTGGAAACCTGGCGGGGACCGATGTACGCCAGATTCGCGTCGCGTCGACGTGGCGGCGATCCCCGGGCGGCCGTTCAGGGTTCAGCGCCGCCAGTGGCCAAGAATCGGCTGGCATGGGGCGATCTGCGTTCTCGGATAGGCGCGACCGCTCCAGGCTGACCGATCCATGTGGCTTCAGAGACTGACGAGTCATCGCGGCGTGGACTTGCCCTGCATGTTTTCCTGGCCAAGGGGGAGGAGGCGGAGGGGGAGGAGGGGAAGGAGGAGGGAGGAGGGAGGAGGGAGGAGGAGGAGAGCAGGAGGAGGAGGAGGAAGGGAGGGAGGAGGAGGAGGAGGAGGGAGGAGGAGGAGGAGGAGGAGGAAGGAGGAGGAGGAGGAGGAGGAGGAGGAGGCGGAGGAGGAGGAGGAGGAGGAGGGAGGAGGAGGGAGGAGGGAGGAGGGAGAGGAGGAGGGAGGAGGGAGGAGGGAGGAGGAGGAGGTGAGGGAGGGAGGGAGGGAGGGAGGGAGGGAGGGAGGGAGGGAGGGAGGAGGGAGGGAGGGAGGGAGGAGGAGGAGGAGGAGGAGGGAGGAGGAGGAGGAGGGAGGAGGGGGGAGGAGAGGGGAGTGAGAAGGGAGAGGGAGGAGGGAGGAGGGAGGAGGAGGAGGATGAGGAGGAGAGGAGGAGGAGGAGGAGAGGAGGAGGAGGAGGAGGAGGAGGAGGGAGGAGGAGGGGAGGAGGGGAGGAGGGGGAGGAGGAAGGAGGGAGGAGGGAGGGAGGGAGGGAGGGAGGGAGGGAGGAGGGAGGGAGGGAGGGAGGAGGGAGGGACGGGAGGGAGGGAGGAGGGAGGAGGGAGGGAGGGAGGGAGGGAGGGAGGGAGGGAGGGAGGGAGGGAGGGAGGGAGGGAGGAGGAGGAGGAGGAGGAGGAGGAGGAGGAGGAGGAGGAGGAGGAGGGGGGAGGAGGAGGAGGAGGAGGAGGGAGGAGGAGGAGGAGGAGGAGGAGGAGGAGGAGGAGGAGGAGGAGGAGGAGGAGGGGAGGAGGAGGAGGAGGAGGAGGAGGAGGAGGGAGGAGGAGGAGGGAGGAGGAGGAAGAGGAGGAGGGAGGAGGAGGAGGGAGGATGGAGGTCGCGCGGGCCTCGAGACCTCGACCCTTCCCCCCCGGGGCCGGCTCTTCGCCTGGACTGCGCATGCTCTGACGGCCGCGAGATGCCCGGACCCTGCCGCCGGAGGCCAAACGTGCGGACACAATTGGCCGGCCTCGATTCGCAGGCGATCGCACGCACGGTTCTCAGGAGGGGAAATTACACTACCGAGGAACCCCTGATGTAAGGTCGCGCGTGTTCACGCCTGCTGTGCCTGGACGACTGTCACGAATAGCGGCCGCGGTGAGAGACCACCCCCTATGGTCTCGAGATTATGCCATGCCTGCTGTGCCTGGACAAACGTCACGGATAGCGGCCGCGGTGAGAGACTCCCCCTTGCGCACCCCCTATCGTCTCGAGAATATGCCATGCCTGCGGTGCCTGGACGAACGTGAAGGATAGCGGCCGCGATCAGAGACCACCCCCTGCGCACCCCCTTCTGGCGTCGAGAAATTGCCGCGCCTGCGAGGCTTTTCGACAGTGTCGTGGATAGCGGCCGCGGTGAGAAGACCACCCCCTGCGCACCCCCTCTGGCGTCGAGAAATTGCCGCGCCTGCGAGGCTTTTCGACAGTGTCGTGGATAGCGGCCGCGGTGAGAGACCACTCCTGCGCACCCCCTCCTGGCGTCGAGAGATTGCCGCGCCTGCGAGGCTTTTCGACAGTGTCGTGGATAGCGGCCGCGGTGAGAAGACCACCCCCTGCGCACCCCCTCTGGCGTCGAGAAATTGCCGCGCCTGCGAGGCTTTTCGACAGTGTCGTGGATAGCGGCCGCGGTGAAAGACCACCCCCTGCGCATCCCCTTCGGGCGTCGAGAAATTGCCGCGCTTGCTAGGTTTTTCGGCAGTGCCGTGGATAGCGGCCGCGGTGAGGGACCACTCCTGCGCACCCCCTCTGGCCCCCTCTGGTGTCGAGCAATTGTCGCGCCTGCGAGGCTTTTCGACAGTGTCGTGGATAGCGGCCGCGGTGAGAGACCACCCCCTGCGCACCCCCCTGGCGTCGAGAAATTGCCGCGCTGCGAGGCTTTTCGACAGTGTCGTGGATAGCGGCCGCGGTGAGAGACCACCCCCTGCGCACCCCCTCTGGCGTCGAGCAATTGCCGCGCCTGCGAGGCTTTTCGACAGTGTCGTGGATGGCGGCCGCGGTGAGAGACCACCCCCTGCGCAACCCCTCTGGCGTCGAGAAATTGCCGCGCCTGCGAGGACAGTGTTTGAGAGACCACAGTGTTTTCGACAGTGTCGTGGATAGCGGCCGCGGTGAGAGACCACCCCCTGCGCAACCCCTCTGGCGTCGAGACATTGCCGCGCCTGCTAGGTTTTTTTTTGTTTTCGTGCATTGTGTCGTGGATAGCGGCCGCGGTGAGAGACCACCCCCTGCGCACCCCCTTCTGGCGTCGAGAAATTGCCGCGCCTGCTATTTTTCGACGGTGTCGTGGATAGCGGCCGCGGTGAGAGACCACCCCCTGCGCACCCCCTCTGGCGTCGAGAAACAGTGTCGTGGATAGCGGCCGCGGTGAGAGACCACCCCCTGCGCACCCCCTCTGGCGTCGAGAAACAGTGTCGTGGATAGCGGCCGCGGTGAGAGACCCCCCCCTGCGCACCCCATCTGGCGTCGAGAAACAGTGTCGTGGATAGCGGCCGCGGTGACAGACCACCCCCTGCGCACCCCCTCTGGCGTCGAGAAACAGTGTCGTGGATAGCGGCCGCGGTGAGAGACCACCCCCGGCGCACCCCCTCTGGCGTCGAGAGACAGTGTCGTGGATAGCGGCCGCGGTGAGAGAGCCCCCCTTGCGCACCCCATCTGGCGTCGAGAAACAGTGCCGTGGTGTCCCGTGCTGTGCTGTGTTAAGCTGAGTTGAGGTGAGCTGT